TTTATATATATATATATAAATATATATGGACATTATTAACATGTCCATATATAAAGCTAACTGGATTTGTTGGACTGTGAATGGGATCCAAACTAAGAAAAATTACTGCTTATCATCTTTATGTTGGATTATCATTTTGAATCCAACATAATGTTACAACTGCAAACACTCCTCTTTACTGCCATTATATTTTATATTGTCAACATTCAGTGCCACTGTTTATTAACTTATTTATTACAAAAATATATATCTTTGAGAATGTAAAGTTCAAAAAACAAACAAACTTGTGTGGCTACATCTGTACTTGTGGACCTAAAAGGTACAGTATGTCCGTGGTTACTTTTGGCTTGTGAACCTTTAAAAGTTGAGCTCACACTCTTACTTATCACACCTTAGTATGCAGACAGATTGTTTTTATAGTTTTTATTTAATTATAGGAGGAGCTAAAAAAAAAAAGTAACTTTCATATCAATTCAAAATTAGAGTCAGATAACAAATGTAACATCTGTATGAAGCAGAAATGTTCTCAATGTTGTCTGCTGCTCAACTGCTCAACTCAACTAAGTGCCAGTGTTTGCAGGTGTTCCTGTGAGTGTGTGTGTGTGTGCGCAAGCAGAAGAGCTCGGCAGTGCAGAGATGGAAGAAAAATGCACTTTTCTGCTTTGTGGAAGTTATGGTAACTGATTTAAAAAACAAAAACAACAAAACAGGGAGAAATGGAAAAATTAAAACAACATTTTTTCTTCCACATGAATCACGATTCATAGCCACAGGGTCTTTTTGGGGAGAGGGGCAAAAATTAGCTCTACTCCAGTGGCTATTATACTGAGTAAGCACTTTCTGGCTTCTAGAAGTCGTAGTTAGAGGACCACTTGGAATTACCAGGATTTCTGCATTGATTACTTGCAGGGTTTAGTTTCTGTAGCCAATGTGAAAATTCCAGATAAACACAGATGTTAATAATGTCCATAGACTCTTGGCCCATAAGTGTTACTGGATACCCAAGTTGTCTAGTGTTTGATATCCATTATCCAACTTTAATTTGGTGTTACTCCCAGTTTCTTCTTTTTTTTTTCCTGCAGGGAAGAGACGAGCAACACTTTGGAATTTCCTGTGCGTATCTCTGAGACTTTTTTGATTGAATCTCTTTTTTTGGGGGGATTTTCAAAGTCCTATAACCCACACCCTCTCATCTCCTTAACTGGAGAACCTTTGTCTTCAAGTAACTTTTAGAGTAGTTGTGAGCACAGAAGTGCAGTTAGGTTTTCCGCCCTGGCACAGTGAGCGATGAAAGTACAGTCATTTCTTTGTAACCACTTTATTCAGATTCTGTGCATCTATATTTGTGACCTAGATAAAGATCAGACCATGTTTCATGGAGAATTGATATAGAAATCCTTGTAATTCCAAAGGATTCACCAACTTTGTCTTGCAGCTGCAGAAAAATAGCACAATTTGATTAATTAATTAACAGACCCATTAATATGATGCAGTTCAACACAACACGTGTGGTTGTGCTCTGCATGATTTACATTTTCAAATGCTCAGGAAGAGGAATAACTGATTGCACCCTTCATGGAAACATTGCATCTGTGCAAAGCTGCTTTCTATTGAGCCACATGATGACATACTGTAGATACTGTAGCAGACCTGAAAGTCAAGTCAAACTTGATTCTTCAGATCATTGCGATTTGATTTATTATTCTGTATCCAAGCACTTAAAGGCATAAAGCATCACTGCTTTGATTTATTTGGGAATAAATGAATGTGACTTGCCTCAGGAGTACAGCTGACAATGCCCTCCCCCACATAGACAGTCTCAGCTGGAATCCCGAGGCCCTGTTAGTGAAGCCAGTCGTCAAGACTGCACCGACATTAGCTTTTTAATTTAAGTAAACATGGCCATTTTAACTGAGTCTAACTGAAGTAAAAAAAAAAAGAATAAAGGATAGGGTAACACTAGAGAAATAATTTGTTACACACTCTCAGTGGTGCTCATAGTGCAGCAAACCTCACAGAAGTGTTGCTGTAACTTTCAAAGCTCAGCATATACAAGAGCATGTAAGATTAACCAGAGCACAGCGGTTTTATTTGAATTCTCACACCTTGAGTGAAAATGAGCAGGTGTTTTGGTCAACAGAGACCCATCACTACACAAATGCACTGACATTTCTGATCATTTCCTGTTAGCTGTGCTTCACTGGTGGTGTCGAACCACGTTTTGTTGATGTTAAAACAAGCGTAGCGTCTGCCTCCAGTGCTTCATTATCTCCCCCACTTCATTTGCTTTTGTGTGTAGTGATCCACCTCTGACTAAATTCAAGGGCTAAAATACAGGAGTGTGCAGCGTTTAGTACATTCCAATGGAGACATCTACACTGTAAATGCACTGTAACGTTGTATTACTGTCTATGTTGACTGATGTGTGTTAAAAAAAAAAAAAAAAAAAAAAAAGTACTGTAGGTGTTCAGCTTTTCTCAGCCAGCTATCGATGTCAAACTATTGCCTTCTTTTTCAAGTTCAACAGTAAGTCGAAATAAGTTGACTGAATTCAACATTCCTGCCTTTCATTTCGAAGTACCTGTCTGTCAGAGTTGCTACTAATCAGGAAAAACTTCCTCTGTGGTCAAGCTGATGTTCAAGTTTTCCAGAGGCCATTCTTTGGTTTCTCCAACAAAACTGCTAACTGATATTGCTATTTAACATGATAAAAGCTGTATGTATGGTGAACTATTTTGTTAATAAAGGCAATGTTTATATTGTTAAATGCCAGCTTTTTACCCCCGAGGTTAAAATTGCAAACCATGTGACAGTCTAAATTTCCCACACTGGAAAGCTTCTTAAGTGCTTTCAGTATGAAGATGCTGCCTCATGAACTGACAGTTTCAGATAAAAGGAGACCAAATATAGAGCAGTCCATATTCAGCAAACAGATGTTATTTCCTTGAAAACAGATTAAGAACTCTTCCAAAAGAAAAGATGAATAGAACAACATCTGTGGTCTTTCAGAGAGACATAACAGCGTTCCCTGCTGTGTCATGAATGTCACTACACTGGCTTCTATCCAGGATTCTTGGTGCTCCGGCACATGCCTCTGCAGGGCCTGGTGTGTCGATCTACCTGCAGTCACGGGTCCATCGTCCCACTGAGCAGCAGGGACATCTGCTGATCAGATACGCTTTCCTGCTGAGTCGCAGCCATAGCCTGACTCAGGTACACAGCCAGGATATGTTTGCACTGAAAGAAAAGATCGCAGACACAGATTCATTAGATTAACAGCAGAGCTGGTGTGATTAATGAGACGGATATGAAGCTGTAATGACATGCCAGTAATTTAAATTCAAACATCTCATGTAAACACCAGACTAGAAAGGAGCAGTTTAGTTTGGCTCTAACCTGTTGGGCAGGGATAGCTCAGTAGAGGGGTGACCCCATGATTGGAAGGTCGGGGGTTCGATTCCCCTGAGGTACCCCTGAGCAAGGTACCGTCCCTACACACTGCTCCCCGTGCGCCCAGTGGCTGCCCACTGCTTCACTAAGTGAATGGGTTAAATGCAGAGAGGAATTTCCCCACGGGGATCAATAAAGTATACATTAAATATTCCAATGAACTATTGTATAATACACTGAGCGTATTAGTCAGTAACTTAGAATATCTATATCTAATTAAAAATGTTCATAAATGGAGACACATGGAGAGCAGTTATGATAAAGAGGATTTTATTTGTGTGTGGACGTTTGTGTACAAAATAAGCAGTAATTCCAGTAGCGTAATGTTTGCTGAATAATAAGAAGCTCTGCAGCTCTCAGGATCTGTGAACGTGTTCATTAGCCCCTCTTATTATCAGTATAAGTTACTCATTGATTTGTTTTCCTCTTCAGCCTACTGCGTAGGGCTGGGCCATACAGTGTTGGGAAGGTTACTTTTAAAATGTATTCCATTACAGAATACAGAATACATGCCCCAAAATGTATTCTGTAACGTATTCCGTTACGTTACTCAATGACAGTAACGTATTCTGAATACTTTGGATTACTTAATATATTATCTTGCTTGAAATATTTTAAACCAGAGGATTCAAAGGCATGTCCTCAAGCATCTGCTCTGCTGTCTCATTAATCTGTTGGACAGTATCACATCACTTCTGGGATGGGAAGCATGCATCAATCCTAAGAAAAAGGTCAAACTGTTTCTTAGTCTATTGATTAAACTTAATTTTATAAAATGTGTTTATGTTGCTGCCAGTGAGTTTCACTCAGTGAAACAGCTGTACACATCTGGCTGCAGAGGTTCACTCACTGTGAGTTCAGGCTTCACTGTAACAGTTCGTCCAGATGATATTTCAGGTTAGCTGAGCAGACAGTCTGTGAGGTGGACAGGAGAGAAGGATGTGACACACAGTCTTTGGTAAGGAGCTGAATGGTCTGAAATAGTGTATCATAAATATAGTTCAGGTTGTTGCTATCATGCTGAGTAAATGTACACAAGATGCTTGTAGCTGTTGCGTGCTAGGCGTTCTACGTTTTTATGCTTTGTGGTTATTTCTGTGCTGCTAACAACTGAATTTACTTCAGTTGTCTGATGTAGATCCATCACTCTGGGCCTGGACCTGCAGACCACAGGGAAACATCACACATCTACCTGCTGTCTGTTTCACTGCTCAAATATATTTTTTGTACGGTACTGTCTTCTTGAAATTCTTTCAATTTTTTGTTTGCAATCATACACACGATGCAGTCATTGACCTACACTGATTCACTTTTCACTGGAAGCTTCATTCCATAAATATTCAGTCAATTTAACACATTGGAACAAATTTTAAACATTTCAGCTGAGACAGATGAACATCATGTGACTATTTCATCAAGTGTGTTGCTTTCAATGACCATGTTCCTGTTAAATACAGTTACAGTGTCATTTGAAGAACTTCTTAGTCATCATTACTGCTGTTTGAGTGTGTGCTCATTACTGTTATCTCTTTAGTACTTTTTGAATTTAAGGTACATTTTGGAAGAATCAGTTTTATTAAAGCTTTTTCTGTATTGTGTGTTGTACATTCCACATTTTATCTACAAATCTGATCCTTGGAAAAATCCAGGAGAAAACATGAAACGAAAGGAGAAAGAAGAGGCAATTCCTCCATATTATCTTTTTTTTT